TTGCACTAGAAAACAACCTGAAGTTCTCCTAACAGAATACTAGCTCCTGTAGCCCTGTTCATGGACCAAGGCTCTTTAGATTGGAATCCTTAGCATGACCAGCAAGATTTTCACATATATGTCCCTGTAATAGCCTGGGTATCCCCCTTTTGCTTCTGTATCTTGGAAAAAACTGTTTGAATTATGCATTTTTCCCATGGAGTCTCAGTCATTTCATGACAAATTTATTCAGGGCTGTGAGGATGTCTGCCCCATCTGTTAAAGTGCTTTCTGCAGGAAGACTAAGTTTCTATATTAGTCCTGAAGATACCTCAAATGGGTAGCTTATTTTCAGATTTTTGATGAACTCCTGGAAAAAACTATGTCTTTCCAGACTTTCCTAGGAATCTAGAATCTTGTGACAGAAGGAAAAAAAAAACTACACAGAACAAGTAAGCAATGCTAATGATAGTGAATACCTCATTAGTTTTTTCCATGTAGCAGAACTTTGCAAGGCAGTGCCCTCTTAGCATAGCTTTTTATGCCAAGAAGTATGTTTAATTAGTTACTGTTCTTGAAACTACCAACCCTCTCAGTCCCCACAATTGTCAAAAGGCTGTATTAATGACCAAAGTCTGAGGGCCATTAATGAGTATCCATATCCACAGTTTTAACAGAAGCTGTCTGTCAAACATAGTTAATGTCTCTACCACAGGGATAAATGTATTAGTGTCAGTTTTAGACCAGTTATCAGAGTAGTATAGTGCCTTTGTAAGCTTGCAAGGGACATCTTGATTGCTCCCAATTTCTGGCGATGATGAATAAAAAATAAACATTCATATGCAATTTTTGTGTAGATATAAGTTTTCAATCCTTTGGGTATATAAGGAGTGAAATTGCTGGATTGTATAGTAAGAATATGTTCAGTTTTGTAAGAAACTGCCAAACTGTCTTCTAAAGTGGCTGGACCATTTTACATTTTTCTAGACCATTCCTTCAGCCATGAATGGGACTTCTTGTTGCTCCACTTCCTTCCAGGATTTGGTGTTGTCAGTGTTCTGGATTTTGGCAATTCTAGAATCATTATTAATTTAGTTTGCATTACCCTGATGACATATGATATGGAGCATCTTTTCATATGCTTCTTTGCTGAATCACTTTCTTTTAAGTTATCATTTTGTATGCCTGTGTACAAGTTAGGAACAACTCTCCAGATATTCAGAATGCTCAGGAACAGTCATGGGCTCTGAACCAGATAACACTGCAGTGGCCTCAGTGAATACAGTTATTCACCCCTCCTCTCCTACCTGTGTTATCTATGTGTTATGATTGCTGCAATACTGGCAAATGAATGGTTAGCAAACTCACGGGTGATCCATTAACACCCCTTCTCCCTTACTTTTACTCTATGAAAGCTTTGTTTTGACTTAACAGCTGTCTGGGGGGTCAAAAAGCTCTTGAATGAACTGGAATCCTGGAATCTCCAAGATATTTCTTTGGCGAATTAAGAATGAAGCTGCATGCAAAGAAATTGCTCTTTGTGGTCTTTCAGGGCACAAAGGGTTAGCAGGACACAGGTGTATAGTTATCTACTAGGGATTTGATTTTCTGTTGGGAAAATAAGTCTCACCAGGCAGCTTCTGAGCCCTTTGTAAAGCCTGCTTTTCTGAGGTCTGATACCTGAGTATTCTGTTTGAGTTCTCTTGGCAAAAGAGAACCTCTTTGGAGATGGCTTAATGGGGCAGGACTGGTCAGGGGGTGTTTTCCTAGCCTTGGGACAGAAGCATCTTTCTGCCCATAAGGTTTTGAGAGATAATCTCTCTCTCTCTCTCTCTCTTTCTCTGGCTTTAAAAGACTCTCTGCTGCTGTGTGGGGTGACTCTTCAAAGAGCAGAGGGTAAGAGCAAATGACCTCCCTTTCCAGACTCAAGATTTCTCCTTTGCATAAGGTCAGTGTTTTAGTGCATTGAAATCTTTTCTGAATACATCAAGGACTCTACAATCTTAAGATAGTTTATAAAACCAACAGTTCAGAGAAAATTGGTGAACTTAGTAGTATATATTTGACAAATTCATATACTATATATATTCATATATCAATTTAAAAACAATTGATATAATAAAATATACATTAAAGTCATGAAGCTATGAGCATGTGTTCATCATTGAACATATTTTAAAAATTAAATTCCTTTTAAATAAGTAATGGCAAAGCATGGCATTTGAAGTCAGAGAGAATAGAGTTTAATTTTTAGATCTGCCATTGTCATGTTGTATAAATGTGAGAAAGTAACATGATTTCTTCGAGCCTTGGTTTTCTAATTTTAGCTTCAGTTTTCTCATCTATAAAAGGAGCTCATAAGACCCAGGGCATGTTGTGATAGTGATGAATGCAAAGCTTTATAGTGGGGGCAGTCTATTTATATGTTCTTGGTAGTCTGGTTACAAGGATTTGTAAGTCATGGCCCTTGTCTTGGAAGAATTCTCCACTGGGGAGAAAGAGACATTTAAGTATACCTTCCCACAAATAGTTATTTAATATTTGCTCATTAATTTTAGTGCAAGAGGACCAAAGGAGGGTTAAGAATCATAGAATTAAAAGGAAAAAAAGCTATTATTTTTCCACAAGCTTCACTAATGGAGTTCCCTCCATTGGAATAGTCCCACTCTGTTTTCCTTTGATTCAAAAAGGAGACCAGAGGAAGCATGCAAAGCAGTGGAAAGAGGATTCAGAGAAAGAGATATAATGAAGTAAATTGTTACATAGTAGGCATTTAATACATTATCAGTGTTGTTACTAAAGAGAAGGCTAGTTTGGATACTTAGATAATCCTTTGGGGTCTCTTAATTTATTTAACTCTAATACAAAGAACATTAACGCGAGAGCCTGTTTCCTCATCTTTAAAATAAAGAGGTTATTATTTAAAGGTCCTTACAACTTCACACAGAAAAATTTATTTCTATCACCAGGTCTATCTTTGTATAGAAATATATCTGGTAGGATGAATACTACATTAATCAGAAAAAGTGTTGATCTCCCATTTTAATATATGCCAATATGGTTACATGAACTTTATTACTAATTTGAAGGGGTATCTATCAGGAATCACAATATATGCCTGATATTAAGGGTCTAGGGTTTATTACTATTACCAGATATAATGAATTCATTCATTGAACAGATGCTCTTAAAAACTGTTGTGCCAGGCATTTTTCCTGGCTGTGAGGTCAGAGGTCTGAGAAAAACTGATGAGGGCCTTGTGTTTTCCTGGGGGTGTATTTTCAGCTGAGTGGCACGCCTCTCCAGTCTCATCAGTAGACTTCTTCCTTTTTGAAAATACTGCTATTCCCCAGGGCTCTTTCCTCTGACCTCCTTCACTGTTCCTATGACTTTAAACTGGCCATCAGTTAGACAACACAGGAGTCACTTTTTTGGCAAAGCAAGTTAAGTACATATTGTAATTCTTGCATGTAAGTCACAGGTGGAAAAAGTGAGATTTGTCTTCCAACTGATGTACAAGCATTGAAACCAACCAATGGATTTTATTTTGTTATACATTGCCCCTCAATTCAGATTTTCTAGACATTATTTTTTTGTGTTTGAGTTCTTAAGAGCCTTCCTTTATTGAACATTTTTCTCTTTTCTTCTCTTCAAATGCCCTCTTCATCACACTTCATGTAATGAATTATCCCCACTCTAGTCAAAGCCACTGCCTGTTAATAGAGTTGGAATGAAACTTACCAAGTTGACTTATATACACTTCGATATTTTCTTTCCCAGAGTCATGGACAGGCCTTCTTGTGGTACCAGATGTAATTCTAATTGCACACGCTGGAATTTTGTAGATATTTAAATATTTGTTGAGTGAATACACACGTGAATGAGTAAAAAAGGAGCACATACCTTAAAAACCAAGTATTATTTCTGTAGATAAAATAGGGTGTAAGAACACTTAGGACAAGAATCACTATAGAGGAACTTCTTTAATCCTACAGATTTCTTGATGTGGGTGAACATGTCATCATCCTTCACCTGAATGGAGATTAACCCAGATTCATGACAGTTACTAAGGGACCACACCCACCAAAATCTCCATTCATTTTCTTATCCTTTCACAATAATGGAATATTAAGAATCATAATCAGGTAATTCCACTCTAATTGTTATGTCTTAGCTTGAAATTAGTTCCTTTGTTCTTGTAAGGTTAACTTTGGGCCATCCATATTTCTTCAGGGAGAATTTCCCTTAAACAATATCCGATTCAAGGCTACTACCTATACAATGAAACACTTTATCAGTTATCACCCATTGCAGTTTATTTGCCAGATTGAATTTGCTCTTCAATAATATTTAGTTTTTATCAATAGCCATTGTGCTATTTAATCAGTGGTATTAGAAAATATTTAATATTGTCTTTATGATCCTCTTTTATTTGGATGCATGAGGACTTATCTTTTTTATTTAATGTTTATTTATTTTTGAGAGAGAGAGAGAGCGCGTGCAAGTGGGAGAGGGACATAGAGAGGTGGGCAGAGGATCCAAAGTGGGTTCTGTGCTGACAGCAGTGAGCTCAATGTGGGGCTCGAACCCGTAAACTGCAAGACATGAGCTGAAGTCAGGAGCTCAACCGACTGAGCCAACCAGGTGCCGTAGGACTTTTAAGCCTTAATGGACCTCTTAAGGGGAAAAGAGAAGTGAAGAAAAGCAGGATGAATTGGCTTTTGTATTGTCCCAGAGTTGCACAGAAATATCCTATCTGTCCATGTACATGGAATCATAAAACTGGAAAATATGTTAGTTATCTACTCTAACCTCCTTTTTTACACATATGTGTGAAAATGTGCTGAAGCCTAGATATAACATGTTACTCTTGCTAAAACCCAGGTGTCCTTGTATATGATTTAGTGTTCTGTCTCTTTCCTTAGTTCACCCAAGATGGACTCCAAATCTAAGAAAAGGATAACTGGGTTTGCCCTTCCATTGAAGAACAAGACAAGGCTCACTAGTGATCCTGGATTGTATGATGTGTAGAAGAGAGTGAAAACATTTTCCTTGCCTACTTGTATGGTCCTTTCCTTCAGGGAAATCTGCTTCCTTCACTCATCATGCCATCCTTCAATCAGAGCATTTTCCACCCTGCAGTCTTCTTTCTTACTGGCATCCCTGGCTTTGAAACTTACCATGCCTGGCTCTCCATCCCTTTTTGTTGTCTCTATGCCATTGCCATCTCTGGGAATGGCATGATCCTGTTTGTGATCTTCACTGAGTCGAGCCTCCATGAACCCATGTACTATTTCCTCTCCATGCTATCTTTCACGGACCTAGGACTATGCCTTTCCACATTGGTCACCATGCTGGGTATTTTCTGGTTCAATGCTCGAGAAATTAGTTTTGATGCCTGCATTGGTCAAATGTTCTTTATCCATGGTTTCACATTCATGGAGTCCTCAGTACTCCTGGCGATGGCCTTTGATCGCTTCACTGCCATCTGTAACCCACTGAGATATGCCACAATCTTAACCAATTCAAGGATCATCAAAGTGGGCTTTGCCATTGTTATTAGGGGGACAACGGCTCTAGTGCCTTTACTCCTGCTCCTAAAGCGTCTGTCTTTCTGCCATGGCCATGTTCTGCACCATTCATATTGTTTCCACCCTGATGTGATGACGCTTTCATGCACAGACACCAAGATCAACAGTGCATTTGGTTTGGCCATTGTCATATCAACTGCTGGCCTAGACTCTGTGTTTATCCTCCTTTCCTATGTTCTGATCATCCACTCTGTGCTCAACATGGCCTCCCCAGAGGAGCGGAAAAAGGTCTTTGGTACCTGTGTCTCACACATAAGTGCTGTTGCCATCTTCTACATTCCCATGATCAGCTTGTCACTGGTGCATAGATTTGGGAAGCAAGCCCCTCCCCTTGTGCACACTCTCATTGCCAATGTTTATCTGCTCATCCCTCCTGTGATGAATCCCATAATCTACAGTGTGAAAACCAAGCAAATTCGTAAGGCAGTGCTCAAAATATTCCTTTCTAAGATGATTTAGGAATTTTTTATTTTATCCTTTCTTCCCATAGTCTCTTTAACTCATATTTGATTATTATATTATTTATTTATTTAAATTAGAGTTAGGTAACCTAGAGTGTAGTATTAGTGTTAGGAGTAGAGCCCAGTGATTTATCACTTATATATAACACCTAGTTCTCATATCAACAAGTGCCCTCCTAATACCCATCACCCATTTAGCTCATCTCCCACCCAACTCCCCTCTAGCAGCTCTTGGTTTGTTCTCTGTATTTAAGACTCTCATATGGTTTGCCTCCCTCTCTCTTTTTATCTTATTTCTCCTTCCCTTCCCCTATGTTTATCTATTTTGTTTCTTAAATTCCACATATGAGTGAAATCATATGATATTTGTCTTTCTCTGACTTATTTAGCTTAGCGTAATACACTCCAGTTCCGTCCACGTTGTTGTAATGGCAAGATTTCATTCTTTTTGACTGCTGAGTAATACTTCACTGTGTGTGTGTGTGTGTGTGTGTGTGTGTGTGTGTGTATGTATATAAAACACCTCTTCTTTATCAATTCATCAGTTGATGGACACTTGGGCTCTTTCCATACTTTGGTTATTATTGATAGTGCTGCTATAAACATGAGGGTGCATGTGTCCCTTCGAAACAGCACACCTGTATCCCTTGGATAAATACCTAGCAGTGCAATTGCTGGGTTGTAGGGTAGTTCTATTTTTTGTTTTTTGAGGAACCTCCATACTGTTCTCCAGAGTGGCTGCACCAGCTTGCATTCCCACCAACAATGCAAAAGAGATCCTTATTCTCTGCATCCTCACCAACATCTGTTGTTGCCTGAGTTGTTAATATTAGCCATTCTGACAGGTGTAAGGTGGCATCTCATTGTGGTATTGATTTGTATTTCCCTGATGATGAGTGATGTTGAGCATTTTTTCATGTGTCGGTTAGCCATCCGGATGTCTTCTTTGGAGAAGTGTCTATTCATGTCTTCTGCCCATTTCTTCACTGGATTATTTGCTTAAAAAATTTTTTTTAACATTTATTCATTTTTGAGAGACAGAGTATGAATGGGGGAGGGGCAGAGAGAGAGGGAGACACAGAATCTGAAGCAGCTCCAGGCTCTGAGCTGTCAGCACAGAGCCCGACGCGAGGCTTGAACTCATGGACCATGAGACCATGACCTGAGCTGAAGTCAGATGCTTAACTGACTGAGCCACCCAGTCACCCTTGGATTATTTGTTTTAAAAGCTTGATATGTTTCTCGTACCAGAGAGTACTGCTGTATTAAAAAAGGGTCATACACTGTCCAGTGCTTGGCACTTCAGGAAGTGTTTCTGGTACATGCTGTGTGCACTCGCTGTTGTGTTGTGGCTGCTCTTTCCCCCCTGGTCAGGCCTCTGCAGAGCTCCTCCTTGCTTGCAGTGGTGGAGTGTTTGGACCTTTAACTAGGTGTGCTTTGATTTGCTTTCTGAAGTAACTCTGGAAAAAAGAGGAAGGAGTAAAGCCTGATCCCATAAAAAGAGAAAAGGAAAGAGAACAATACAACAAAAAACCAAACAGAGAATCAAAAAACTATTATAAGGCTGATTCCAAAGAAAATGAAAAGAAAAAACAGAAGAAAAGAAAAGAGAATAAAAACAAAACAATAAAAATGACTGATTAAAAAAAAAAGGAAGTGAAAAAAACAAACAAGAAACTATGAGCCTGATTCCAAAAAAAAAAAAAAAAAAAAAAAAAAAGAAGGAAGACAAAAGGAGAAAAGAACTCTTAGTGTAGTGGTGAGGCGTGATTTTCAACGTTTATTTATTTTTGGGATA